ACTGACAGATAACCACAAGGCACAGCTCATCGATGTTTGCACGACATTGTCATGTTGGAACGATGCTGGCAAAATGCACGCATGAGAAGCAGACCAAACGGTAGAACCTTGGAGTAACTATTATAGTTACTCCAAGGGTAGAACCTATACGCTCTTATACTATCTCTGAGCGTCTAGATTAGAACACATCATTCAGCAGTGCAGACACACATGGCCCTGAGACAGGAAACGTTGACAACACCATTAATTGACGCGGCAGGATCTGTACCTACGGACCGACGGGAGAACTGGATAGGATAGTCCAGTATCTAGGCATTTTCAGTTCTGCCAGTATAGATAATCTCGGGACTTCATTACAATTGTGATGCGTGCGAAAAGAAGTCGAAAGCACGAGAGAAAAAGGGACCGAGGCCTGCTGGCGACTTCCAATTATAACCTAATGAAAGCTTTTTGAGTCCTTAACCCTTCAGACTTCCATCTGACCTTAGTGGAGCACACCAAAGACAGGCTTCGGTCACTTGACGTAACATTCTGCAGCGATGGGGAAAATACTTTTGATTATATAGGGCGGTCAAAGATTCGTGGCGCCATTTATTGTCAAATATTTCTTAGACTTTCTAACATAGACTCTCCAGCTTTTTCAAAATGACTTGTACCAATGTGTCTAAATAGATGGGTATTTTTGTAAACACTTTTTTTTTTAGCTGTAGGGCTATTCTAGAAAATTCTAGATCTAGATACTAATTTTTAAAATTCAAGAGGGTGGTAGTTTCTACAGGTTTTAAAAGGTTCACAGCTGGGGCAATATCATTTTTAAAAGCAAGTCCATATTTTTTTCTTTCTTTTATGGCAACAATATTTTATTGAACGAATGTTTTGAGAACCTTTATAGTGCGGTCAAAATTCGTGGCGCAACTTATCCTCAAATATCTCTTTAACGGATGAATCACTGTCACCCATACTTTGCACAGCAGTTTGTATCAATTCGTCTTTACTAAATCAGATTTTTCCAGAACAAATGAGGCTACATTATAAAACTTTTCTTCACAAATTTATATAAAATACTTGAAATCTCTGTCACACGTAAAATGGCATTGTTCACAGCACTTCCCGTTTCTCACACACATTTTGATTACATATATATGGCCTACGTCACCGCTCATCAATGACAAGTTTTACTAGCAAAACTTGTTACAAAAAATATTTTTACAGTAAACATGTTCTTTGCACTAATGGCCCTCAAAACACGCGTTCAATAAACACAATGTCCCGATTAAAAAACAACATGACGGACTTGCTATTAAAAGCAATATTGCCCCAGCTGTAAACATTTTAAAATCTGTAGAAACCACCCGCTTGGATTTTTTATCTTCGTTTAGGAAGTTACTAAAATACAGCTTGCAGGTGTTTACAAAAATGTTGATCTGTTAAGACACAATTGATACAAGTCACAGTGCAGAAATTGGAGAACCTATGTTTGATAGTTGAGAGGAGATATTTGACAATAAGTCGTGTAATAAAAAGGGAACAATCATATTCTCTGCGTGATGGAGATTTATAGTGTAGTGTACATGTACGTGTATTAAGAAAATTTCTTTTTAAATTGAGCCTCAATTGTTTTGGGAAAATATGATTAGGTTAAGCCAAATTTATACAAACTGCTGTGCAAAGTATAGGTGACATTGGTTCTTCAGTTAAAGAGATATTATTTGAAGATAAGTTGCGCCACGAATTTTTGACTGCACTTTATAGTTAGTCTACCGTACGTTGGGGAATAAAAGGAATGTTTGGCTAATTAACTACGCACAAGTTGTATCTCAATCATGACACAACTTGTCAATGCATAGCCGCTTTCTTGTTATTTCTGGGACAACCCTCGTATCTCATGCAGACATCTACATGACTAGATATATATATATATGGCTTTGAAACATCGCTACACATTGCAGACTACACCTAAACTAGATCTATGTAGGTCAGGTTTCAGAAATGTGTATAATAATTAACGTTTAAGGCTTATAATCATTGTAAATTGTGCCGTCGCAGCAACAGACGCTGATGTCGTTGTGCTGTTTTGAATTCAATTGTCCTACTTTTTTGCGACTTGAGCAAGACTTTAGTATTCTTAGTCTGGGGCTTACACAAGGAGGTTATATAGAAATGCTCAAGGTCATGGCGTTCCAGAAAATCGTGCAGGTCGTAATGAGCACTAGGCTATTGGGCACAAGGAAATACATGAAGTTTAAATAGACCTGTGCCGGTGTATGCAATTCTGAGGGCTGTCCCCACAAGGGTTGGGGTTTTTTGGTGGTGGTGGGTTATTTTTTTCCGGGGGGGGGGGGGGGG